GACAGTATAATATCAGCAGCTGTTCACACAATAATTTCCATATTATGGGATATCTTTTTTCCCCATTTATTCCTTAAATGAGTTACCTGAAGTAATTTCCATGCGGTTTCCCTACCTTTCTAAAGATACTGGTGCAACTTGGTCATTATGTATTAAACATAAAATAGCAAATATTTTCACTGCAACAGGTGCCTGGAATTACATCTTTGCTGATATCATGAAGGAACAGATTTGGAGTGATTAAGAGTAGGAAACAACATCACTCTTAAGAAATATTTAGATACCTTTTTGGATCATCAAAACTATTGCAGCAACGTAGCTTTCGCTGTCATCGCAACATCTTCATTCAGCGTAGTGACTTAAACCACTCCGGTCATGTGACCACCTTTTGGCCGATCACAAACCAGCAGGTCATCGTAGATGTCTCTGCTGATATGTGATCGCCCAAAAAGGTGGTCACAAGAAGATGAATGAAGATGTCGCGATGACATCAAAAGCTACGTCACTGCAACATTTTTTGAAGGTATCTAAATATTTCTTATCAACGTGATGGAATCCAATAATAGTATACATGCTGTTAATATCAATGTTATATATCAATATTAATCATATATTAATACTCATCATTTCAAATGGCTTTACATATGTTATATTACAGTTTGCCGTGGATGTTCTAAAGTATCAATTTAAATGTGATTTGAGGCTTTGGATGGTTGTAACACAGGATTCTGGACATACACAATATTAAGTGTCTAAATGTACGGGATACGCAATGTTCTTCCCAGTAAAGTAATAGCCATTTCTGTATACATATGCCCATGTTGTTATTCAATCATTTTGTATTATTCATCATAACTTGATGCAAGTTATAACAAGTGATATGTCTGTATTGGCAATGTCTGTTGTTTAACTAACACAGCACTGCTCTTTACAAAACTGCATGTTAAAATAACTATTTACAACGAGACTACAGGTATTCCTTGACCATTCCCAACCTAAGCCAATTCTGGCTTTAAATGGGTCTATTGAAAGACACGTACAATGTACACAGGTCCCACAGAAAATCTGGAAAGTGATTAGTAAGATTTGAGGCTTTGCATGGTGGAGATACTAAATAATGAAAGGTTTGTGGAAACACCATGTGCGAATGATTTCTCAACTAAGAGAATGGTTCTGAAAAGAACCAGAGGTATAAACTCGACGTTCCGGTCAGTATGCTCTGATCTTCTTCAGGAGAGTGCCTAAACTCAAGAAAAAAAGGAAAAAAAAAACTTTCTTAGAGTTTAGGCACTCTCCTGAAGACAGTCGGAGCATACTGACCGGAACGTCGAGTTTATACCTCTGGTTCTTTTCAGAACCATTCTCTTTGTTGAGAAATTGTTCGCACATGGTGTTTCCGCAAACCTTTCATTCTTTGGAAAGTGATTTGAATTTGTTTGAGCGTGAGCACATGCAAAGGATTTCCAAATTGCTATTTCTCTGCATTGATGATACCCAGTGTTTTGGGAGTGGCTGACTTTCTTGGAATGTTTAGACTTTAATAAGTTTGCCAGTTTCCCTCACACTCTCTATTGACTCTTGATACTTCAATGACTTCCCTATTGGCCTAAGGAGTCCTGATGCTTATGTATCGTCCCTTTCAATCCCTTTGTATTGCGGACTATTTAAAAACTGTGATAAAATCATGACCATCATTTAGTACAATATTCCTATCACTGTACCTTCTGATCAAGATTATAAATTAGCAGAATACACAAAATGATTCTAATGCAAGGAGAATCTACATACATGCTACACTTCCTATACATATATACTGTACGTTTAAGTCAGCACAAACAATGTGCATCATTTTCCAATACAATGTTTCTATGTGCATGCATTAAGTGTTGATAGTTTATTTTATCATTCCATTTTACTACTCACAGATTAATAATAAAGTTCAATAATACTAATACTAATGTCATATACATATAGTTTAAGGGCCGAATAAATTCGTTTGATCTAGAAAATAAATAAGAAATATAATATTAATAAACATTCTTGATTTCACCATGTTAAAAACGAGAGGATTGACATATCAGAAGTAGTCAATACACATCAACACACATTTTCCGTGTTGTGGGGTATTTAAGTGCATAATACCAACTTGGAATGAATTCTCTTCATACACTCATTGAAAATACACTCTTCAAAGTGACATGCATAGTATTGGCCACTCAGGGACAATGCACTAGTATTGCATGTTATTTTGAGTGCCCAGACTACTTCTAAAGTAAAAAAATAGCCTCAAAAAAATGTCCCAAATTATCAAATAATGGTGGACATTAAAAATTAGATATTTGTCCAACTTATTTATACATGTACACATATATATATAAAGTGAAATCTAAGCTTACGTTCAGGGTAAAAAAATGAACTCTAATATTTTTAATTGCTTCTGATTCCAATCCATCTCGGAAAAATTGTTCTATCCAGAATCCATTCCAATGATGCCACCAAAAAACACTGCAAAATGGCCATTATTTTACCTTCATTTAAACTAGATTTTAAACCACAGATATCAATTCAAGAATAGTGAAGTAATTGCACATTTACTTGTCTAATATAAACGCAGAACACTTGTATCTAGATTGCTAAAGGGTACATGAATTAAGCTTACACTCATGGGCGTCGCATGAGTGTAAGCTTAATTCTGGAAGAGCAAAAAGCAAAAAAAGCTGGAAAAGCAAAAAAAAAAAAAAAAAAAAAAAGAACAAAAAAAAAGAAGAAAAAAAGAAAAGAAAAAGAGGCGCGAAGACAAAGTGGTGTAAATTTAATGAGTTGGGGGGGGGGCAAAATGTCCCTGCCCCCCTCTAAAACTGATAAATCGAGAATGTGTTGAGAAATACAAGCATTTTTTTGGCAAAATATTTTTTTGCCCCCCTCTAGAAAAAATCCTGGCGACGCCCATGCTTACACTGGAGCATATTCGTAGCAAATAGCCATTCCCCTGAAATGTATAAAAACTATGAGACATCCTCTTTGGTAATGATGTTAGCAAAATTCACTTTTCTTAAATTTGTTTTTCAATATTTCATGAATCTCTTGACAACTGAGGGGTTGCTGTGATGACACTTTAGGAACACGCTTCTTCAGATGAGGGTTTTCTCCTCAAATTGTAAACTCAAAATTCTTCTTCTAGAAAATATCTGAGAATAAACTTTTCTCATTGTTTTACTGTCATATACTGAAACAAAAAAATGAAGCAATGAAAGAACAAATATGACCACAGCAAACCCCTAAAATTCTGGTGTTCACAGATGTGAAACTGAAGTTTCTGCCTTGAATGACATCACAGTTTCGCTCATGAATATGTAAATTCAATCGCATAAAACCAAAAAGGCACCAAATGGCCCTTAAAATGGCAATATTAAAATTAAAATAAAGGTTAAATTAAACACAAAGGTACATTGCAAGAATTGCATTTTTTTTGTAAGTCCATTACATGGGCCCTTTAATATAGAATCATGTGAAAAATAATTGACTTACACACACAGGCACGTTTGAGCATTGCATTTGTGCCATACATGATCTTGTTAGGCGTGAACGCTCATTGTATGCCTTTTACTAACTTCCAAACATTGCTTGGTCAAGCACTGATCATTCAGCTTAGGCCAATCACAACGCCAACCAAGCAAGCTTGGAACTCATATCTGCAAATACACAACAAAACTAACCACGAATAATGCTATCATTGATCTAATTTGGTGTGAAAAAGCTCACCATTAGGCCAAAAAAAAAAAGTCTCCGGTTTCTGCTATGCGCGCGCGTCGCCGTAGCCATGCGCGTCGGCAAAATGAAAAAGTTTTTTTTTCAATGAAAGATGATGTCTCAAAACCGCCAAACTCACTGGTTTGACTGGAATCCTGCTGCTGCACAATTTTAACGTGTTTTTAGATGGGGTTATGATCGAGAATAAGCTTTATGTGGCCTCTCTGGACTCCCATATATTTGCACTAAGTCTAGTCGGGCACCATTTGCAGTCATCAGCCTCCATTTTGAGGCAAAAAAAATCAGGTAAAAAAAAAAAAAAAAAAGCCGCGTCGCCGCACCACTTTTTGGGCAAGCTCCATACCAGAAACCGGAGACTTATTTTTTTTGGCCTTACCTGCAATATATCATGTTAATGGAAAATGGAAAGCCATGACTAGAAAGTTTTACATGTCAAACCAGTCAATTTTTAAAAACATATACATGTACATCTGTTTTCTTGGTTTTGTTGGTTTCAATTTCAGTCACAAGCCGTCGTCGTGACTGACAACCAGCATATTTGTAGCTACGCACTGTCAGCCATGCACAGTTTATGCACGTTTAACTTAAACACGGTACAGAATATTAGGTGTACATGTACCTCCATGCGTGAAGCTCTACCTACCTAGTATTTGCACAAGATGTGAATGTTCTATTTTTAGCGTATGTTAGTGAGTATCATTCCTAAGGGACGAGTTTTGCCGCTGGAAACATTGTTTTTTTTATAATGCGTAATTATGAAGCACAGCAAAAAGTACTAAATTATGGAAGACTTGATGATGACAACGCATACACAATTTGCTCAATCTAGTTTATACAAAATACTGGAACTACAGCTCAAATGAGCAAATAAAAAGCTTTGCACAGCATTTCACTATTTGCACTGCAGAATGAAACGTCATTTGTTTCTGGTCAACACATCCCTTTTTTCAGATCCTACAGCAATGTTCTTCTTAACCCCATGAGCTCGGGAAGCCGTCATGGCTGTGGTATGCAGTGGCACACAGCTAGTGGGTAGTTTCACAGCTGCTGCTTTTGTGCAGTCCCGCTACCACACAAAGGCTGTGCAGTCATGCGGGCCACTTGCTCTATGTGTGGAGGAATGTCCCCATTATAACCCATGCTTAAGTTAAGGGGTTAAGGACATGACCTTTTTTCAATGCTTTGTGTTTTAGTGAATTGGAGCAGTGGTCCAGTGGGATTTTATTTTGTGTGTGTTTTTTTAATTGGTACCACTGATTCTTATTTTACATCAAGAAATACATCTGAATTCAAATACATTTATTACCAAATCTATTTATCATCATTATATAATTTCCTATTTCATACCAATGAAAATGAAGAAAAAGTCTTGTTCTGAAGGATATAATTCTTAACTGGTTTGACTGCAGCATATTTTCAGTATTTTTTATGTGAACTAAGTTTTCATCTTCTTTTTGACTGCATGAAAATTTGCAGATTGCTGATTTGCTGACCATTTCCCCAGACTTGTGGCCCCTCGTCTGCTGAAGTCACAATTGTCAATTTTTTGTTTAGCAGCATACATGCATTTGGAAAATCAAACTGGCTCATATGCTACATGTATTCAGTGGACTGGTTGGAGGTATAGAATAAGGAAATACACGATTCAAAATTGAACCAATTATCGACAAATATTCACCAGTTATGACAAGATGTCTGATAAGATAAGGCAGTGAGACTTGCTGAAGGGAGATTTTTTACAAACTATTACGAAGTATTGATAATTATGGGTTTTTATGATGACTTAATTTAGTAATTTTAATACATATTGCATACCATTTCTTACAACAACAAAGAGCCCAAATGTAGCATGTGATTGTTCTAGGCCCAAAGTTTAAATGAGATCAGAGCTCGGATATTTACTCTGCCTTGACGCTGGGTATCAATGTGTCAAACACGATGTCCCACAGTTTGCTGGAGATGCCAAACCCTATAAAAAACAAAAGACAAAGATTCAATCATTTAAAATATACAGAAAAAGAACAGAGCAACATATTACTGTCAAAGGTGGCTGACATAGTATTGCTGAGAAAGGGAAACACTGCTGTAAAATATGATGTACTTTCTTAAAGTAATAAGGTTTTTACCAGGAAAAGAAATAATATAGATACATGTAGTTTGTTAAAGGGCATGTACATGATTGGCTTTTGCTGTAATTTTTCAGAAATGAACTATTTGAGGGGCTAGTATAATAGATCAAATATTGTTACACTGACATGTTTGAAGGTTTGTGTTCAAAAATGCTGGAAAAACCAAGAAACACAAAAAAAATGTTCAAGTAGTCTGGTTCCCTGACTCCACTAAGAATGAAATGGATCAATTTATAGATGCCGGAAAATTGTAAGGCAAGGGAACCAGTCTAGCTGGCCTGCACCCGTTCATGAACATGTAACCAATAGCAAAGAAAATTTGGACCTTGAAAAATGGTAAATTTGGAGCAGTAGTTGAAAAATAGTTAGGTTTTTCCAACGGTGGTCGGCCGACCACCGTTGGAAATTTATACAAAATATCACTTTTCTTGAAGATGACTTCACACCAGGTGCCATAATTTTACAGGATGCTTTAAGACTGTCATTTACCAACATCCAGTGAGACATTTCGTAAAAATTTGGTAGTTTTGCTTTTCGATGTTTGCAAATGTTGTTTATTCCCTTTAAAGTAATAAGAAAAAACAGGGAAAAAAATAACATAGTTTGTTCACCTCACTCAAGTTTCCCATTCAAAGTGATATCCCTTTGCTGTTTCAAATTTCCCCATTTATTCGGATACATTTCTGCACCATATGCATTGAATGGTTTTGTACGGTAATTGTACATGTCGGTCTACACTGGCCTTGTTGCATGTATGTTCGGTGAACCCAAATACATTTTATCGTAACTTTTTACAATCCTTTTGATATGGTCATCATTTGTTATATAATTTGCTCATGACAAGAGCAACAGGTTGTATACATGAACAATGGTAGTAATTATTTGCGAAACAGACTCCAAGGAATCCAGCTTATGAGAACATGTATGTACCAAACATTTAGCTCTCAAGTAGAGTTCTTTTCAACATTTGTCAATCCATGCATAAATTTGTTTAAATTGTTGAGCAGGAAATGTTTTTTATATTTTCAGTTCACATCTACATGACACACATGATGAAGCAGGAAACACAATTTCTACACAATTTTATGGGTGAACTTTAATCCATTAACCCAAACCATCCCAAATCCTCCAAAATCCTTTTTGCAAATTGGAGGAATTTGCAGGATTGAGGTTACATGGCAAAAGTGCGTTGCTGATTTCAGAGGACGCACTGTGTCAGAGTCTTGGGCCGGACCTTGTGTTGTTTGTGCTCAGCCTAGCATAAATTTAGTCCCTGATTATACTTGAAATCCTCCGCACTGCTCCAGGATATCACTGCCTCTGCCTCAGCCTATTGACAGTCATAGCCGGAGGATTTTGCAGGATTCAGGCAGTGGTCACCTCTCCGCGGACCATATTCAAGAAATAATGGAGGAGTTTGCAGGATTGAGGCTATATGCTATTTTTCCATGAGGCCAATTGGAGGATTTTGCAGGATTGAGGCTACAATAGGTATATCCTAGCAAAAAGGCCTAGGGAGTTAGGGATCAACCCCCCCCCCCCCCCCCCCCCCATACAAGAGAAGTACATACAGACTTACCTTTATCTTGGATCTCGTAGTGGTGTCTGACATGGTATGACTTTAGGGCCTGGAAATATGTGCCTTGCGCAGGAGAGCCATGATGGAGATAATAATGTGTCAAGTCATAGCAGATGTAGCCAAAGATTACACCAGCCATCAGTGTATAGGCTATAGGCACGGGCAAGGCAGCAGTCAGTATGAAGTAGAAGAGGACTACGAAGACTGAAGCTGCAACAGGAGGGAATACCAAACGACCTGGGTGGAAAGGCACCTGATGAGACAAATAAACAGAGTACAATCACTACATTGATTCAGTGGTTTACTGAGTGGCTTTGTTTCACTACAATGTTCTCCTATCTAGCTTGTTAAAGGGAAAATACAACATTTGCAAACATCGAAAAATAAAACTACCAAGTTGTTACGAAATACCTTACTAGGATGTTGGTAAATGACAGTCTAAAGCATCCTGTAAAATTAGGGCACCTGGTGTGAAGTCATTTTCAAGAAAATTTTATTTTTGTATACATTTCCAACGGTGGTCGGCCGACCACCGTAGGAAAAACCTAACTATTTTGCACTACTGCTCCAAATTTACCATTTCCTTCAGTCCAAATTTTGTTTGCTATTGGTTACATGTTCATGAATGGGTGCAGGCCAGCTAGACTGGTTCCCTTACCGTACAATTTTCCGGCATCTGTAAATTGATCCATTTCATCTTCAGTGGAGTCAGGGAACCAGACTACTTGAACATTTTTGTTTTTCTTGGTTTTTCCAGCATTTTCGAAAACAAAACTTCAAACATGTCAGTGTAACAATAATTTGATCTATTATACTAACCCCTCAAATAGTTCATTTCTGAAAATTAAAGCAAAAGCCAATGATGTACATTCCCTTTAAACACTCATTGCACATGGAGTCGTATGACAATGAATGTCATTTCCTAGTCACTTCCTGTACTTGCTGATAGAAAGTTTGCCAAGTTTACCAAGACCAATCCAAAATTTGCAAAACTACAAGCCAAACAAGTCAGACGTTTGGATGCATGACTAACAAGGAAGAATAAACAACAGTGATGTGTTCATGCTGAGAAAACACTGATTTTGTCAAACAAATGACAGTTCTTTTCATTTTCTTGCTTTGACTAAAAAGAGTTGCCACAGAAATAATTAAATACTGAAAGATAAAAAAGCTGTGTGTTACAGGGGTGTGAGTGGAGCTCAAAAAAAAATAGCTGAAAATAGCTGAAGCTGTAAATAGCCGAACCTGCGAGCCCGGAGCGCGAAGCCCTTACGTGGGGTCCAGAGCCCGCCCAAAGGCCCCGGGATAATTTTGAAATGTAGATAATCTGTGGTGCATTTTACAGCCTCCTGGGTCAACTATTGATCGAAAATGTTTTGCAATTTATGCATGTTTTTAAGTTAACTTTTCCTTCAAGTTGGCTTGAAACTGCCTAAAATACCTTGTACAGTCGACTCTCGTTAGAACAAACTCTGTTAATACAAAATTCTGCTTATAACAAACATAAAGCCTTGGTCCCGACTGTGAATTTTATATGCACAATGAAAGGGACTGGTGGTCCTCTTAATACAAAATTCTGATATAACAAACAATTTGGCTCGGTCCGAACGAGTTTGTTATAACGAGACTCGACTGTATATGAAAACTGTGTTGAAATTGAGATTTGTAGTGCGTGTCTGCCAAAGCCCCGCCCCATAAAAAATAAACCTCCTGGGTCATTCCATGCCAACTCAACAAATGTTGCACACCATCACCTCTTGGATTTTTTTCTTTTTTGGTGTACTGAAAGATACTTAGGAGAAATGCAAATTCTGAAAATTTGGGGTCTCTACGACTTTTCGTTCTTGCGTAACAGCATTTTGAAATTTGAGGTGGGCGGGGCCAAAAGTGCGTCGCGTCACGAAATTCAATGTTTAAAGGGCCATATATTTAAAACTATACCCCCCAGACATTTCAAACTTGGTAATTTGGGCTATTTTTTGCTGTAGATTTCAAATATTTTAACAGAAAGAAAGTAGCTTGTTTCATTTTTAAGTTAAAGGGGCCCCAAAATGGCCCAAAACTCATCTGGACCAATGTTCGGGGGGGTGTAAGTCAAAAATTGAAAATATTTTTTTCACCAATTTTTTTGCCTGTAATAGCCCCCAAGTGAAATTACTTTCATGTAAAATCTTACACTTATATTAACTTCATTGAATGAGATATAGCCCTTGCAAAAAGCAAATTGTTTATTTTTACGATAACTTGACCCCCCCAAAAACCAACGTCAGACATTCCGCCCCAAATTTTGCTTCACATATGTTTGAGGTTGGTCCTTAGTGAAGTCCTCTGAAAAGTTTCATGTTGGTGTCTAAATGTCTTCAGTGGATAGCTGGGCTTTATAATGAGTCTATATCTTACGATGCTGGTTCCGTAACATACAAGTACACGTACATTGTACCAAGAATAACAGCAGTCGGTACATAAAGAATAAGTTGGGTATGAAACTTAGCTTACATTTGTACATGTAGACTTTTGATCAGTTGATATAATTGTTTACAGTTTCACAGGTGAAATTATGCATTCCTTGTGATGTAGTTTTGATGAAGTTGAATGAGTTGCATGATGGTTGGCTCACTAAGTTTGTATTGCCTTCCACCGCTATGTAGAAGTTCTGGTGTTGGTACGCAACACAACACATCAACAAATGGAATGTTACATTTATCCTCTCTTTGTGGCCAATAGAGAGTATTTGTTGATTCCGTCCTGCAGAAGCGGACATACACATCCTCATGAAGTTGTGATACATCTTCTACAATAGCAATGTACCAAACATCATCATAGACCACACAAACATATTTTCCTGGGTTGAGGTCAGCTGCTACAATTGGTGCATGATGAGTTTCCTGCATGAACTATGAACCCTAAACATGAACCCTTATCCATAATGAAAACTAAGATCAATCAGGTTAAAACCATAGACCCTTTACTCAAACTGAATCACTTCTCTTTGGTTCAGGTTAGTGCTATACTATGCTGTGCAAGTGAGAACTGGTTAATGTATACATGACATGCATGCTGTGTGATGAGCACATGGAAAGAATAAGACTCTCAAGTCATTTAACCTAATTTGCATATAATGCACACAAAGGTCTACAAGCAACTGTTTATTGAGCAGGAAATGGGTAGTCTTGACCCAAGTCTATCAACAGTCTATCAACAGGGATTTTGTTGTGCTGGTTCCGTAAAATACAAGTACATGTACTTGTATGTTACGGAACCTGCAGCATCGTAAGATAAAGACTCTTTATAAAGCCCAGCTATCCACTGAAGACATTTAGACACCAACATGAAACTTTTCAGAGGACTTCACTAAGGACCAACCTCAAACATATGTGAAGCAAAATTTGGTGCGGAATGTCTGACGTTGGTTTTTGGGGGGGGTCAAGTTATCGTAAAAATAAGAAATTTGCTTTTTGCAAGGGCTATATCTCATTCAATGAAGTTAATATAAGTGTAAGATTTTACATGAAAGTAGTTTCAATTGGGGGCTATTACAGGCAAAAAAATTGGTGGAAAAAATATTTTCAATTTTTGACTTACACCCCCCCAAACATTGGTCCAGATGGGTTTTGGGCCATTTTGGGGCCCCTCTAACTTAAAAATGAAACAAACTACTTTCTTTCTGTTTAAATATTTGAAATCTACAGCAAAAAATAGCCCAGATTACCAAGTTTGAAATGTCTGGGGGGTATAGTTTTAAATATATGGCCCTTTAAACATTGAATTTCGTGACGCGAAGCACTTTTGGCCCCGCCCACCTCAAATTTCAAAATGCTGTTGCGCAAGAACGAAAAGTCGTAGAGACCCCAAATTTTCAGAATTTGCATTTCTCCTAAGTATCTTTCAGTACACCAAAAAAGAAAAAAATCCAAGAGGTGATGGTGTGCAACATTTGTTGAGTTGGCATGGAATGACCCTCCTTTAAATCTAGCTCTCACTTAAGAAAAGAATGTACATTGCATGTCCAGGCTTTTGGATTTTTCTGATCGTGTCGCCTAATTTCTGCCCATGAACGGTGTGTTCCATCATGTTGGCATCAAACTCCAAACGGAAAGAATATTGCATCCTGACGTTACTTTCGAAACAGAAGAAATACTTGTTTTTGCTTATCTTGTACCTCAGAGAGTATACTTTTATGTGAGAACTGTAAGGAATATGTTGACAAAGTCATTAAGAGAAATTTGAAGGCGAATATGTGGCCAACTTAGTGAATTTTTACATGTCACTGCTTGTTGAAGCCCTCAACTGACTCCTGACATGTTCAAATTCACTAAGTTGGTCACAAATTCGCTTTACAAATCTCCCTTAAAGATTTTGTCAACATATTCCTTACAGTTCTCACATGAAAGTATACTCTCTGAGGTACAAGATAAGCAGAAAAAAATGTCTTTTTTTTCTGATTCGAAAGTAGCGTCAGGTTGCAACATTTTTTCCCTCCGAACCTCTTTGGACAATTATGCATTTGTGTTGCACTGACATCTTGCGGAATTAATCATGTCAAAAGTTGTTCGGAAAATACGTACGAAATGACACACTATTAAACGTATGTACGTACGTTACTAGCATGCAGTGGAATGCAGGATGCAGATGCAATGCAGACATGAACTTTGCCCCGCATGAAGCCCTCTATCGGCGCGGCGACAATTTACGAGTCTTATTTCAAGGCTTTATACGTGTGCAAAGTGATCTTTTCGAGGTTTACAGCAAGTTATTGTGGAGATCATTGTGTGTCACTCCTTACACAGACACAGGAACGGCTGCAAAGAGTCCCAACGCGCTTCATGGCGCATGTGTGAATATTCATATTTATCTGCAGCCAATCACAGTGCAATGACTGTTGGTTCCCCGGATGCTGTTTTGCGTAGTGTACAATACATTGTACACATGCACACGGCTTCGAGCTGAAAAATGCATGCACATTACATCATATACAGCATATGTACAGTACCCGTTGCATGCGCCACAGAGCTACGCGTAGAGCGGATCGAATGCTTCGGCCAAAAAAAAAAATGGTTCTGCTTCCGATTAAATGGCATTCGAAAATAGGGTAGGTAGGTAGGGAATTTTTTGGGGGGGGGGCCATTTTTTTTGTGTACGATCATATGGAGGCGTCTGCGTGTAGTCAAAGATAAAAGGTATAAAGTGATGGTTTGGGATGTTTTTTTCTCATTTTTCCAATAAAACAAATTAGGGTAGGGGCTGTCAGAATAGGGTAGGTAGGGAAACCGGAAGCAGAACTATTATTTTTTTGGCCTTACGCGCGGGGGAAAAAGCTGGGGAAAATCTGGACCATCGGTAGAAAAAAAAAAAGGAAAAAAAAATATGGCACGCTGAACAAAAAAACGGAAATCCGCTAAAAAGCAGAGATTTCACACCCCTAGTGTTAACTGTTCAAAAGTGGAATAAGGTGAACATGTATGCTAAACACCTAGCCACTAAGTAGACAAATGTTCTCTGGACATTACCTTATGATGTTGTCCATGTAAAACGAAGTGAAGGCCAATCAGGAGCTTGGAGTTTGTAGGTGGTTCCATGTGAAACAAAAAGCGATGAAGGATATACTCCACAAATGTCCAGAGCAGGGCACCAGCGAAAAACACCAATGGGAATGCCCCACATGTTACTGGCATCTCAAAGGCTGCGTATGGGAAAAGACAAAACAAAAATATGAAGTATAATAATACTGGGAAGAGAAACCTCCTCTACAGGGTGTCCCAAAAAAAAATGCTCCACTCTCCTTTTTTTTACAAATTCAAGCAAACCTGAATGCATATATTTTCTTATTATGCATGGTAAGAATGCTATGTGTCTTGGTTGTTATCTACCAAAAAAATTGGATCTTACTATCAATCCACTAGGGACAGAAATGCTTAAATATGAACTCGCCTCCATTTGCCAACTGCGCTGGGGACTCAAATCACCAATTTTAAAATGTCGATTTTTGTATATATATAGTATATATATATAGTATATATTTTTGCACTAGTGTATAGTTTGTACAGCCTGTCTAAAAAAAAATGGTACAATCAGAAAAAAAATTGGTTAAATATGAAACTTCAAAATAAGTCATTCTTACTTGGCATAATATTAAAGAACAAAGACTGGGCTTTCCAATAGTGTTTGTTTGATCTTATTTGCTTTTGTCAATTCAGAGATATAATCAATTTAGTGCGATACACCAAAATCGATTTTGTGCCACTTCTATGCATGGGCAGAGTTGTTTCGAGTACTGTGCCATGCTGTCTTGAAGCTCACAAAAGATTGCAACTTGGCAAAAGAAACAAACTCGATTTTTGTGTTCCGCAGTAAACTGGAGTTATCTCTGGATTGACAAAAGCAAATGAGATGAAACAAAAAGTATTGGAAAGCCTGGTCTTTTTTCTTTAATGTGATGCTCAAAACGACTTACTTATGTTGAGATTTAATATTGAAAAAAAAAAAAATCGTTTTCGATTGTACCATTTTTTTTTAAACAGGCTGTACAGCAGTATCCATACAGATGTTAACATGCGCACTGTAGCTTGTTCTATCTTCACCAAGATATTTAAAATTTAAATTTTATGTGACACAAGCCCCTACGAAGGCCAAGAGAAAGGTGTTCTGTAATACAGAATGGACAGCATGAATACCTTGTTGGATACTTTTTTTTAAACTTGCCGATAAGAAGTGCAGGGTCTGGCCATAAAAATAGGGTCGGTCAAGTAACTGGAAGCAGACTTTTATTTTTGAGTTTGGTCGAACATGATATGTGATGCGATCAAGCTAAATGAGTGGTTTGTCGACCCGGGTCAAATTTAAATTACACATTTGAAAAGAGCACAATCTCAGCATTACTGCTGTGAAAACCGCATGCTGATACCATCTTTAGTTCAAACATTATGGAAGTCGGAACACCAAGAGATGTGTTAAAGTGATGTGATGAAGTGGCCCTATTTTGGCCTGTATCTCCAAATCTAAATTCCCGACAAACAACTCATGTAGCTTGATCGCATCACATATTACATTACAAGACATTACTAAACAAATAACTTGAATTTACCTCCACCAAACACACTGGAGAACATGCTGACGTCCTGCCACTGCTGAATTGCCAACCAACACACTATTGATATAAAGGGGATCCAAGTGATTGGCACGGCATACCAACTCGACGTGGAGAAATATTCCAGCAGGTCATAATGGAAGAGGCGAAGAGAATCTCTGCTGATGGGCTGGTGGGTCCAACTGTAGTACTTGTCACCCAGGTTGACCACTTGCCACAAGACTGGTTTACTGTAGTCCACCAAATCCTACAGACAATAATGAAATGGCAGGGCAATCATTAAAGCTGTAGTCCATCATTTGCAGCTATCCAAAAAGTAACTGGCGTAATTATTGTTGAAAAACATACTTGGTTGAAAGATAGTAAGGGGACTAAACTTCCTGTGAAATTGTTTTTTCTGGCATGCCGTCATTTTGAAGAAATCAACGAAAGAAGGCCTTTCCAATTAGTAGTTCGTTTTGTTATTCGGCGAAGCACGCGCACGCACTGGCACGACGCACACGCACGCGCGACATCGCGTAGCTGCAATGGGCTCAGTGAGAACGTGTCTCGGACGCTGAATTCAGGCCCAATTCAAAACATGATTCAGCAACTTTGGATTGGAAATCAAGATCCTAGAATGTTGTTTTTCCTCGAAATATACAGCTGAAGCTGGGCTGAAACTTCATCAGGTTAGCTGTTCAGCACCCTTCTTTCGAATTTGCGCACTATTGTTGCTTCAAATGAACAAAATGCACAAATTACAAATGATGGACTATACCTTTAAGGTATACTATGCATGTGTTCAAGGCGACTCACAATGTACCTGCTCAACATTTCCCTTTGTATTACTTGAAAATAAAACTTAAAACAAGGTCTATTTTCCTGATGAAACTTGGAAGAGCACACAGAGAGCAACTCAAACTTATTTGAATTATAGTTTTGTTGATTCAATTAAGTATTTTTTAGCAATCAGTGAAAATATTTTGAAGTAATTCTCAAATCACCTGTAAATTGGAATTTTGCAAGATTTCCATTATAAAACATACAAAAAATACAATCCTGAAATGTTACAAATTTGAAGTTGAAATGTTTGGCACCTATTAACCCAAACCAGCCCAAATCCTCCAAAATCCTTTTTGCAAATTGGAGGAATTTGCAGGATTAAGGTTACATGGCAAAAGTGCGTTGCTGATTTCGGAGGACGCACTGTGTGAAGGTCTTAGGCCGGACCATGTGTTGTTTATGCTCAGCCGTGCATAAATTTAGGCCTATATTATACTTGAAATCCTCCACACTGCTCCAGGATGTCACTGCCTCTGCCTCAGCCTATTGACAGACATAGCCGGAGGATTTTGCAGGATTCAGGCAGTGGTCACCTCTCCAAGGACCATACTCAAGAAATAATGGAGGAATTTGCAGGATTGAGGCTGTACGCTATTTTTCCAGGATTGAGGCTACATCTTAGCAAAAAGGCCTAGGGGGATAGGATTAAAGGAAATGGCCTCGACATTTAAATGCCTTAAGTACATGTATCCTGTTTATGATTGTAGTTTACCAGATGCGCAGTTCTCATCCGGTTGTAAAATATACAAGCCTCTAGGTTTTTGTTATTGTAACCTTTTGTGAGGTGTAGTCCATTTCAATTAAAAAAAACTGTTTTCCAAATGAGCCTGCACTAAGTTTGATTTCATGGATCTGTGGGGCTTTGAAAGTACACATGGTAGCTCTACAAAGCCTCTTTCACACTAGTGCCACTCAACCCTGGGTGAACCCAGTGTCGTCCTGGGTTGAGTTTTTGATTTTTCAACCCCGTGTTCAACCCCGCATCGTTTCACACTTGTTTCATGCAAATCACGCTTACCATGCTCAGTTACTACTGTTCTGAACCCTGGCAAGAATTTCAACCCGGGTTGAAAATCTCAACCCTGGTCTGGAGCAAGGTTGAGTTCAACCCTGGGCGAAATCAATCTCGGGGTTGACGCAGGGTTGACGCAGGGTTAAAATTCTTCAAGTGTGAAAAGATTCATGTTTCCAACCCTGCGTCACCCCGAGATTTGTCTGGTGTGAAAAGGGCTTAACACTTGTTAATTGGCTTTAACTTATGTATTAATAGAGAAATACAATTTGAATACAAAAGTGCACACACAGTACGTCTTGAAAATGTCTCAGCCAGGAATTGTCAGATTGTTCTACATGTAACAGACATGTTTCTTAGCACTTTACTGGAATGATCAAAGCATATAATATACCCTGTGTACCCCAAGAGCAAACTAACCTTGACGTGGCTTGAGCTACCGTTTGTCATGTTGCCATTCAGCTGAGTAGGCTGATCATTGCTGACTGTATGATTGCTCGTAACACCGTTGGATGCTACACCATTCTGAAAAGGCAATGTATGTGATAAATTCAATTAAAGGGAATGTACAACATTTGCTTTTGCTGCAATTTTCAGAAATAAATGGATTTGGAGGATTAGTATGTTACATGTAGAGCAAATATTGTTAGACTGACTTGTTTCACGTTTTAGGCTTGTACATGTATATATGCTGAAAAAAACAAGGAAACCAATCATGTTCTTGTAGTTTGGTTCCCTGACCCTACTTAAGATGAAACAGAGAAATGTAAAGACTTTGGGGAATTGTAAGGTCAAAGAATCAGTCTAGCAGGCCTGTAGCCCTTCACAGGTGTGTAATCAATCGCAAAGAACATGCGGAATAACTAAATGTGAAAAAATAGGAGCAGTTTTTGAATAAAGCCAGTTTTCTCCAACGCTGGTCGGCCAACCAGCGTTGGAAAAATACAGTTTTTCTTGAAAATGTCAGCACACCAGGAGCCACAATTTTACAGGATGCTTTAAACTGTCAATCACTCACAATTCAGTGAGGTATTTCAGGATAAGGCAAAATAAAAAAAAAAAAACATGTTTAGCGTCCTGCCTCTTTGACAAAAAGGAAGGAGGCGGCCCTTTTTTTTTTCTTTTTTTTTTCAAAATGGCCGCCCGACACATTTTTCAAGACAACGCGGCCGGGCTATTTTTCAAGATGGTTACCAGCTTTTTTCAAAATGGCCGCCACTTGGACTCATTGACTATTTCCACAGCTTTTTACACGGTATAAAAGTCTAAAAATATGATTTCTTTCGTCAGAGATCGTTAAAAGTTATCAATTTTTGTCTTTAAAAAAGAAAAAAAAGAAAAGAAAAAAAAGGAGGCGGCCTCTTAAAAAGGAAGCGGGCGGGGACGCTAAACATGTTTTTTCTTTTACTTCGCCTAATTTGATCATTTCGTTATTTGATGTTTGCAAATGTTGTATCTTCCCTTTAAAACAACTGTTCCTACAGTACACGGTACAGGCATAAAAAGTCACATAACGTGTATGTTCCCTTCTAGCCCCATAAATGTGGCCAATTTACTGGACTACCTCCGTAAACATAGGCCACACATCCACATGTACAAAAACGTGTCGCACTTTGTCAAATTTTGATTTTCACATTTAGGCTTAGTTTGTAGGTATTTTTTTGCTTTAGAAGCATACTCACCCTCTTTATAGGCTTATCAGAAAGTGCTTTTTCAGATGTCTATTTTTCGTGAAATTTCCAGATTCATTTGCACACGTTTGCGTATCAAAATTTCAACATGAAATTTCACAAAAATTAGACATCTGAAAAAGGCAGCACTTTCGCCGATGGTAACAATGTAATTTGAGTGACCAAAATCCCCACCCTGGGGCATGAAAAACGTGATCAAATCCCAACATCGGACCTGTATTTTATTCACCAAAGCAATGCTTGAAAAAGCCTTGATCGTCACACTTTACAGTTGAATCATGGAGAAATAAAACACAAGACCATTATTAAAGTAAACGTCCATGGTCAGGTACAGACGTTCTTCATCACGCGACCAACCATAAACCGGCCTCACTAAACTAAAGACACTAATTAAAGAGGGTTTAAACTTATAACATTTTTTTGTTAATATTATAAAATTGTGAACATATCTACCTCCAATTCTCCAACATAGTAGGCTTCCAGAAGTTTATAAGCATTGCTGCTGTGTCTGTGTGGATTTGGTCTTGTCATCAACGTTGTGACATCACGGCCTGCATTATTCTTGAGGGGCTTTTCACCACCAGGGTGCATGCCGACAAAATCTGTCACATCAAAAACCCTGCCTTCCCTTACCAAACAAACTCGGCCAGCACCCTTCCATTCTTCCAGTTCCTTTGTACTTATAGTACGGCCCATGTTACGTGGCTTCAATGTTCGAAAGAATCGTTAAAGAAGTAAGATTTGAAGAAATTTTGGGTTCAAATTGTCAATGCCAAAACACTTGCAACATATCCGCATATCCGCACGGTACGTCACGAGCAGGGTGACCGTAAGGTCATGCCCAATTCCTGCTAAATGCACTTCAAAAATCTGTCAGGTTAATCAGAAATCTGCCAAATAAACACTTAAAATCACATGCAGATGTTGTAGTATTGCCTTAATTTTTAATTAAGGATCAAATTACATTGTAAACAATCTGTAGTCACATAAAGATGTTATGAATTAGTTGCGTAAATTTCAGGCAAAATCCGGTTCCAAGTGAACCTCAGCAGCTAGACCAGGCAACCTGTCCTAGATTGGCAACATTTTCTTTTTTAAACAAAATGTACCATTTTTTTCAAATTTGCTATGTTTTTCTGTTTTTAAATAACCATTTTTGGAAAACTCTGCCAGAAATCTGCCAAAAAAATCCATTCTGTCAAATTTTCTGTCAAACTCGTTTTTTAAAGAAAAATTCTGTCAAATTTAGCCGAAATTCGGCTAAAACGGTCACCATGGTCACGAGCGCCACTTCGTATTTACATAATCAAACAATCGTACGATGATTCATTTATTATTGCACCGAAGCGGGCGCCCTTTATACACCCTTAACAAGGCGATATTTTTCGGTACCACATCTTCGCTATCGGGCGCATAGCGACGGGCGCGATTGGACAGAAGTCACGAGGTCATGGTTGTGTTGACTGCTGCGATGTGGGATATGACGTTTTGCGCCCCGAGGGTGTTCAAAAAACGTCATATACTTACACTTACACTTAGATTGACGGACAATTGTCAGGCTTCAGCCTTTACGACCCTATATCATTTTTTCTTCCAAAACTTAATTAATATCTAGCTGCGTCTTGAACTGGTTTGTGGTCTTAGCTTCTATGACGCTTGTTGGGAGACTATTCCACATATTGTGATCACTCTGACTGATACGAAATATTTTCTACAGTTCAGCCCCTTTTTCAGAGCTGGCTTATACAGCTTTGTTGTTGTCGTGTCGCTGACACTTTTCCCAGCCACTCCAGTGCATGACATAGGTTCTGGCACGCGGGTTGAAGTCCTTGAGGTCCTCTTGCAGGGCTCTGGTAGGAGGGGGCAGTTTAGGAGGTGCTCCATAGTTTGGGTGCCTCCCCGCAGTCACAATTGGTGGATCCATATCATGGTTGTACCCACTGATCTCTATATAAAGACTGGATAGCTAATACAGAGCCGCACAATGTACGAATTTGACGCCATATTGGTGAGACCGGCTGGTGATCTACAAAGGACAAGTTGTCGTTTTTATAGACAGCATGATTTCTTTTGTAACGTCGCGGTTCACTTGACTTATATTTTGACCACCATCACTGACCAAGGTTAACTACAATTTTTCTAACGTCGTGGTTACTAAAATGCCGCAAATATAACTTTTTCGGCGTTTTGAAATAATAATCACAACGGAAATGTGTCCCTTTTAGAACATCATAATATGTGTACGTGACCAAAATGCGCGTCAACTGTTGATACAACGCGCGCGTATTTACGCGTAGAACGTTCGTATTATACGCGGCCATCTTCGTGAGACCGGGGGCGAATTGGTCAATATGCAAAGTCTACTGTGTGAATGTTGTATGCATATCCGCTATCCAGTCTTTATATAGAGATCAGTGGTTGTACCCCTACTTCTGCATGAGGGCTTTGCACCGTCCAACTCCTGTTCTAAGGCGGTTGAGGCAGAGCCAAACTGGCATGTCTCTTTGGCTCCTATATACTGGTAGGGTCTCCTCAGGGTCTAGTGACAGCGTGTGGGGATTTGATTGATGTTGTGTCTTCCACGCCATCTATTCCATAGCTATGGGGCCGGGGGTTGCATCCAGGGGTTGAGCCGTATGTAGAAAACTATTCTTGGACTTTAACCTCTTTGGTGCCGGGCCGAGCTGGAATAGAGGGTGGCGAGGGTCATCCGCCTGTTCTGTACGTTCCACTTTTGTGGATACTGCACTTCTGATTGGAGGGGGTGCAATTCCGCACAGCAGGTACAAGTCATCACAATGCGTGTAGGTTTGAGGCAGCCAGAGATGTCTGTGCAGGCTGTGTTTCGCACCGAACCCAGCTTCTTGGAATGTGAGGAACGTTCCCATACTAGGCAGGCATGCATATTCAGCTGCAGAGTATCACAAGGCAATAGCAGTACGTCCGAATGGTTCCTGGGTCTGTTCCCCATTTAGAGTTGGCCAGCTTCCTCAGGATGTTATTTCTGGCTCCTACCTTTGCTTTTGTCTCGGTGACATGATCTTTGTAGCTTAGGGTACGGTCCAGAGTACCTCCAACTTGGTTTGGCTGAATGGGATAGTTTCTTCCCATACTGGCAGTGAACAGATAGTTCGCGGTTTGCATCACGGTTTTTGAGATGGAAGGCACTAATTTGTGTTTTGTCTGGGTTTGCCCGTACGTAGGTGATTTAGGGCGTAGTAGATAAGGCCATCTAGCGCTTCAATGATAGATTTCTCACTTTTGGCGCAGATCTTTCACTGTGTTGCGATGCAGAGGTAGTCAGCATACAAGAAACTCCTGGTGTTTGGGTGGATGCCTTGGGCATTCGTATCAATGTTGAACAGCAGAGCGGAGGAAGGGCTATACCTTGAGGAAGCCCATTCTTCTGTCTGCGCCATCTGCTGCGATCACCCCTGATCGAGGTCCACAAAGAAGCGTCTATTCTCCAGCATGTTTTGGATCAGGGCTGTCAGACTTGCATCTTTTGTAATGTACAAGTACTCTGTGGTTGACTGTGTCGTAAGCCGCCGACAGGTCTACAAAGGCAGCGCCATTCTCATATCCATCCTCAATGAACTGAGTCAGGTTCAGGAGCTGGCTTGTGCAGGACTTTCCAGGTCTGAAAGGAAACAGGTCAACTCGTACGCGAACCAACTCGTACGCGAGTCAACTCGTACGCGGATTGGTCAACTCGTACGCGAGACAACTCGTACGCGAACCAACTCGTACGCGTGCCAACTCGTACGCGAGCCAACTCGTACGCGAACCAACTCGTACGCGAACCAACTCGTACGCGGGCCGTTTTAGGAGCGGTTTCGAGGATTGGGTTGGCATGGTTGGGAAGAATTTGGGAATAGTGTGACGGGTAGTCCGTAGTTCAATGTGTGACCGTTGTGTGTGATTGGGAGTGAACCCGTGAATGATGATAATAAAGTAACTGATTTTTGTAGTTAGACGAGTGTTGTATCGTTTTGTGCATACCTGTAGCCTTGTCACGTCAAATTTAATTCCATATATTAATGCAACGATGTACCAGTTGCATTTTTCGTGTTTTTTTAATCAATGTACCTGTCAGTCAATTAATTGTCACCATTGTCAGACTGACCCAATTGCAATGCTCTGGACTACCATGGATCTGTTCTCGCGGTTCGGTGTCCTAAAAGAACCGGCGGGTTTAGAAGATCAAAAGAGATCGATCAGACTTGTCAACTGCCTGTCACTCAACTTTCATTATGGTTCACAACCATTGATCAATTAAAAAGCAGACACGCGGGGACATCCGTAGGCCTAGCAATTTCTATTTACATGTACAACTGAAATGCTTGGTATAACCATGGAGGTATAACACATAACACATAACACATCAGGGTTCGCAATTAGCGGTATAGCCCGCTAACCAAATGCTTGTCAAAACAGCGGCGACTGGGGCTAGACAAACTATTCCTTAACCAGGCCGGCGTGCGAGTGAAAAATTATTGGGATACGGCAAAGAACAACGAACAGAAAGAAAAAAAATCATAAAATTCAAAAAGGAAACCCCTTTAATTTGTGTCTAATTATCAACTGTTTTAAAGGATTAAATTATCTGATCTGTTAATCAAAAACACCAACAAAATTCCCTCACAATTGCGCTTGAAAAATCAACTACATTTAATTTGAAAATCTCAACCTTTCAGAAAAGGTAAAATTATGCCGACCTACCGTACCGAACCTAATTTCATCTGTCCATGTGAGCTAAACCAATCGTCTAAACTCACGCGTACGAGTAGGTCCGCGTACGAGTTGGTCCGCGTACGAGTCGGTCCGCGTACGAGTCGGTCCGCGTACGAGTCGGTTCGCGTACGAATTGACCCGCGTACGAGTTGGTCGCGTACGAGTTGGTTCGCGTACGAGTTGACCTGTATTCGTCTGAAACCTACTTGCTCGGGGATAAGCTACTGGTCCATAAGGGGGGCCCAGTCGATTCAAGATTAACCTCTCGAATAATTTGTATGTATGACAGAGCAGGGAGATGGGTCGGAAATTCTTGGGGTTAGGTAGCCTTGACCAAGGCGTTGGGCTTATCGATTCGCCGATAAAAAAAATCGCCGATAAGAAAATTCCTGATCAACTTGGCAAGGCATAATTGCGTGCACATATCGATGCCCGTACGCTGCTAGTGAGAAAGTAACTTGTACCATACAGCAAGGCTATGCTGCGCTTGTACATGTACGTACGCACGTACATGTACATCACACACGTACTCGTACAACAGCCATGCACACACAGTACTGTACATGTACATGTACATGCATGAGCTAGTCCGCGTAACCCAACGCCTTGATGGTTTTGAGTTGACCCAGCAAAACCTATTACGGTAATGAGGTACCACCCCCGCGTATATACTGAATTCTCATTGGTCAGCCCGCGATAGGCTAACAAACACGTCGCATCCGCGAAGAAACGCTGCAATGGCGGCCCGTTGCTGTGTGTGAAAGTCGTTCAGTCCCAGTCTGTCCGAAGCAGTATTGAAGGCTCCAACGAATTCTGCAGGTAATGCTGTCATTAGACGATCGTTGCCCACTCAAATGGATTCATTACACGAGCCGAAAAACTCGAATCAATGTCAAATTGTTGAAAAAGTGACGAACATTTCGCTCTCGCTAACAAGACATGGAAGACGCCATGATGACTAATGCATTATGCATGCCGCGCGACGTCACATGATTCTTGTGAAGCTTACGATTGGTCAGCTTAAAAATGAATTAATCATACTATTGGGAAGGTTGTTTCATGTGATTGGTCCAAGACGAACCTACATAATCATCACGGCATACCCGCATACCTGAAGCCCGCCCATTTTTTTCCAAAACTGGACGAAAAAGTAAAGAAAGACATTAAACCCGGAAGTTGCAGACCCAACAAGGCGGTCGTTCGACAGGCCACGCGGCGCGTATATCCCCCACACGTACGTACGTACGTACACCCACACGCAGAACATAGTAGGCCTACATTTACTGCCTTATTACACCATGCGTACAGTCCGTACTCACGTGTTTGTGCTTGTAGTCAGGTGGCAAATGGTCGGAATCGTGACCGACTGGTCCAAAGCACCAAACTTGGCAGATATATTCTTATAGCCCTAAAGAAGATATTTAGAAGGGGTGACACCTGAAATTCTTTTGGGAAGGGTGCCTAATTTGCATAAATCGTTAATCCCTGCCGTGTAATATATTTATTCCCATATTTGGGTATATTTTTATTTTTTTTATTTTTTTGAAAAGTGTATTTTGTGATTCTACTTGCATATTCTTACTTCAATAACATTTTGTAAAACATATAAGTGACTGAATAATTAGGAGGACATAGTAAAGAACCACAATTGCTACTATTTTACCCTAAAGTTACGCGCATTTACCTTTTCCTCAGATATCATCAACTAGTCTCGCCAAACGTGGGTATTGATGAGCTTCAAATTCAGAAAGTTACTTACTGGCATAGTTACCCTAACAAATATAAGTGGGAAATTAAGTGAAAATGGATAACATCTTGATGCTTAGCCCAAAAGACCAAAAAAGGGGAGAAAATGTAGTGTCCGTAAATTGAGCTAGTACGGGAAGGGTAACGTGGGAATTTAAACAAGTTCAAAAAAATCCCCCTAAATAAGAGATTATTGTTGTTTACAATAATTTTGTCTACGCCAAAACGTTTTCTCAACAATAATTAGGGGAATTTCCTTTAACTTGTTCCAGTGTTCCATGTTAGGCAACCATTCACCTACTTGTTAGCCTAATTTATGGACACCTCGTTTTTCCCCAGTTTTTGTTTTCTGGGCTTAATATCACAATGTTATCATAGTTCACATGATTTTGCATTAGGTTTTAATAGGGTAGCTGTACCAGTAAGCTACTTGGTGAATTTGAAGTTCATGAATGCTAATGTTTGGCAAGACTAATTGATGATATCTGGAGACAAGGTAAATGCGCGCAATTTTAGGTCATAATAGTAGCCATTTTGGATCGTTACTATGTCCTCATAATTATTCAGTCACTTATATGCTTTGGAAAATGTTATTTAAGTAAAGATATGTAAGTAGAATCCCCAAAATATACTTTTCAAAAAAATAAAAAAATGGAAATATACCCAAATATGGGAATAAATATATTACACGTCAGGGATTAACGATTTATGCAAATTAGGCACCCTTCCCAAAAGAATTTCAGGTGTCACCCCTTCTAAATATCTTCTCTAGGTCTATAAGAATATATCTGCCAAGTTTGGTGCTTTGGTCCAGTCGGTCACGATCTTGACGAAAATTAGATCTAAGCCACCCGACTATTGCTGGTTGTGTTAGTACCAAACCGTTCGTACAGACAAGGGTCGGTGGTACGGTACACGCACGGACAAGGGTCGGTGGTACACGCACGTAGCCGCGTTGAGAGACCGCATTGAACAAGGCTAGGGGTTAGGTGGATCTTTTCCAGACTTCAATATAACCACTATCTGTGCTTGTTTCTACATCTTGGGTATAGCCTGTTGGTTCTCACACACCTGTTGAATAGGTCAAGAAACCACTGCATGACAACTGGCCTGAGGTGTTTGACTTGTTCACATCAAGTCCAGCTGTAATTGTATTACCTTGATGCCAAGACTGAGGAGTTCACCCATGGTGAAATGTATCCCACGGGTCATCTTCAGGTGGCTTTGGTGTTAAATCAGACTTGTTAGCCTTGGATGTCAAAGACCTCTTATTAAACCGCGCTCACCCTCTAGACTAGATTATCTTGCTGCCAGCACTACCCCTGCGTGTTTATAACCGTAGAGGGTGTTTACGCAGTACTGGAGCAGATCGAAGCAGAAGCAACACAGTTCTAGTAACAACTTGAAAAGGGATAAAGTCAATTGGTCGGAGGTTCGACGAATTTTGGTGTTGATTTTCATGTAGCGCGCGCTAGTACGCTGAAAAATTCCCTGGGTTAATTCTACCAAAGAAAGGGTGAAAACTGGAACTACCCAAACTTGGGTTGTTCTATAACCAATTGTTTGGGTTAGAATTTCTGCTAAATTCAACCAAAACTTGTGGTCATTCAAGACCAGAAATTTAATTTGGTCTTGTATGACTACAACTTTTGGTTGAATGTAGTTGCAGTTTTCACCCTTTCTTTGGTAAAATTAACCCAGGCAATTTTTCAGTGATGTAGCCATGCCTTCGTGACTTTTGATCACTATGTAGCATGATACTTAGTGAAATCCGTCCAATTCCAACCGCGCGCTTCGCCATGCTCCCATAGCGAATGTGTGGTACAAAAAAAATTGCCAGCCGGCCGCCTACCGAATGCGTAAAAAAAACGCCCTCTCTTTAGCGCACGGAGCTTATAGAGGGCGTGCTACAGTCTGTTCCAAAAACGTACATCCGGGGTATCCTGTCTCGTTTCCATGATCAACAAACAACTTGCAACGAATGTCGACGATACTTAACTTGTCAAACACTGAGATTGAGCTGAGACTGGTTTTTACCTGAAGAATTTACTAAATTCTCGATTTTCGGACTGTAAACAAACATGGTAAGTTGTTAAAAAGTGACAATAGCTCGTACGATTCGGTAGGTCCCCCAAAATGCGTGTGGCTCGGATCGCATCTGCGCCTCAGTGTCACGCAACAGTGAACAGCCTTTTTTTCGCGGTAGCGCCAGTATCACAACTCCAGCAGTACACTTATCATAATTTATGCCATAAACAGTACAACGTCATCAAATTTATGAATTATGTACATCGTCGGTCCGCGCGCGTGATACCAGCACGGTCACACACACAGTACGTATACATGTACATGTACATGTACATGTACATGTACATGTACATGTACATTGTACTAATGGAGATCAATGTAATTGAGATCAATGGTTAAAACACAGAGCAAGTTAAACGCGAACGATGCCCAGTTATCTTTATCATCATTGTAGGAAGTTTCGAATTAATTAAATCAAATCGAAATTTGTTCGGTGATGTTGACAAGTAAAAAAAAAGAGGCACCGGCAAAAGCAACAGCAAAACAGGCCCAACATTTTTTTCCGTTAAAGCACAAAACACAATTTGAAATTTTGTAAGACAAAATAAAATACATTTACTCAAAAAAATTAGGAAGAACGATAAAACTTGATCCACTCGTCAGCGGCTCATGGTGTTGCTTGAGATCTAATGCCACTTGGAGGTTGTATACATACCCAAAATTGGGCCTAATGCAAACATCAAATTTGGGAGATTCGCCATGTTGTTTGCGACCATACGTGTTTCTTCTAATGCTTGCATGGTGAGCCCATACATTTTCCTCGATTAAAAAAATAGTATGGTAATTTTCTTGGTAAAACCACCAATCCTCTTTGGCACAAAAATCATTACACAAACTTTTTCTGCATGCAGGGAAAGTGCAGCTTCACAGTTAATCTATTGTTCCCTGTGAAAAATATTGAGACAAGCTATAGGTCAACCATCCCATATCCTGGGGTAAAGGATAAATCATTAGCATATCTGCAAGGATTTTTGTGGTTATGGCGTTACGCATTCAGTCCATGGATGCACACGGAAGTCAAACCGCGGAGATAAAGGGGAATTTTTTTTTTCAACGACAGAAATAAGATTTCGATATTACAGATTCAAATCCATTAATTCAAAATAAATTCTTTATTCAATAGCTTTTATTAAAATATTAACAAGGTTTCTGTAAATATGGTAAGTTGTACGGTTGTCAAAAGGAAAAGTGTAAAAATATAACAAAATAAAAAACAATTAATGCAAGCGTTCACGATAAAGTATTAATTCCTACCTACTTTTTTGAATGCAAAATGTAATAATAAATCATGGAAGAATATGTATGGGACCCGAATCATCTGCCCAAGCCGGTTAATCTAACATTGGTCATTTCAAAAACGAAGGCTTCCCTTATCTATTCGTCACTTAAGCACACGTTGTAATCGACTAAAATGCCGACACTGTAAATAGTATCCGTCGAGCACAATCCATTTTCGTTTTGTACACAAATAATAAGCACGCTAACCGTTGACGAATTACAGATCAATTAGCCCACTCAAGTTCAAGTAATTCTACCTCCGTTGTACAACCGAATGCTATTGTAATTGTTTGCACTAGTTAGTTTGGAATGGAAAGGACGACATGTCACAGCTGGCTCTGCTCAAACACGAGTTGCATTCCGAAAGTTGACCGATCATTCGATGCGAAACCTCCCGCTCTCCATAGCTCCGCCACTGGTCGCCATCGATACTGCATATTTTAAGTCCTGTGACGTGACGTACCTGACTTGTGGTGACGTAAGCATAAATTATCATAAGTGGTACTGCTGGAGTTGTGATACTGGCGCTACCTTTTTTCGCGATCGCTCTTCGGGTTTTAATATCATGATGATTTTTATGCTGATCAGAACTTAGGTAGCCCCATATTTGTGGCCAATTTAGTGGACTACCTCCGTAAATAAAAGCCATACTTGGAACATGTACCCGAACATGTAGAACATTGCCAAATTTTGATTTTCACATTTAGCCTAGGCTTTTTTGTAAGATAGTGGATATTTTGCCGGAGGTAATGACGGCAAACTAGCGATTACTAAAGGTTTGCCGGCGGCAATCCATATCAACAGAGGGCGCTGTACTCTTTAAAATAGGGCTGAAGTATAAGATGTATTAAATTCCCACCATCGGGATGACTCGCGTTCGAATCCGACCGCACCACATTTTAAAGTTTTTTTTTCTCATCCCCAAATAAATAAGAATATTCTTCTTTTATTATTTTAACATGTCTCAAGCATTTTTTGCAGAGTATTACATTTTCTTTTTCAGATTTGTGGCTCTGGAGGATTTTTTTTAAAAGGGAAATAGGCCTATAGTCCGAAATTATAAAATGGTCTGAATCCCATCTTGTGAATACGAGGTAACAACGATAATTTTGGCATGGAGCCAGACTAAAACGTGTCACCGGAAAGTGTTTAAGTACAAAAAAACAGTAACTGCGCATGTTCAGTGCATATCCGGCAAACTAACGTTTACTAAAGGTTTGCCGTCTCCGGCAAAATATACACTGCCTTTTTGTAATTTATAGATAGTGGATATTTTGCCGGAGGTAATGACGGCAAACTAACGTTTACTAAAGGTTTGCCGGCGGCAATCCATATCAACAGAGGGCGCTGTACTCTTTAAGATAGGGCTGAATTATAAGATGTATTAACTTCCCACTGAAAGTTATGTAGCAGGTTTGGTGTAGTGGTTAAGCTAAGGCTTTAGTGAGCGGGATGACTCGGGTTCGATCCCGATCCCAGCCACATTTTTAAGTGTTTTTTTTCCCATTCCCAAATAAATAAGAATATTCTTCTTTTTTATGTTAACATGTCTCAAACATTTTATTGCAGAGTATTACATTTTCTTTTTCAGATTTGTGGCTCTGGGGGATTTTTTTTAAAGGGAAATAAAGTCAGAAATTATCAAATGGTCTGAATCCCATCTTGTGAATACGAGGTTACAACGATAATATTGGCATGGAGCCAGACTCAAATTTGTCACCGGAAAATGTTTTAAGTACAAAAAAACAGTAACTGCGCATGTTCAGTGCATATCCGGCAACTGAACTAACGTTTACTAAAGGTTTGCCGTCTTCGGCAAAATATCCACTGCCTAATTTATTTTTGCTTAAGTAGGGGGCCTAGGACTTACCCTGCATTATATTAGGCTATTAAAAAAGTGCTTTTTTTTCAGATGTCTATTTTGCGTGTAATTTCATGTTGAAATTTTGATACGTAATTGTGTGCAAAATTGTGCGACAAATTTGTGGCCTTTATATACAGAATAGTCCAGTAAATTGGTCACATTTATGGGGCTAATCAGAAGGTATTATGGGGCGATTTCCACATGTTATTGATCGTGATCATAATTTGCATATGTCAACAATAAATAATGCGTCCAAAGTACTGGGAAAAAATTGCAAAGTTTGGAAAAATTCCCATATCTGGCCATCACTTGTCACCCTGTGCACAAACCCTATGAACCTCAACTTCCAGTTTTTTAATTTTCCCAATAGAAAGCCCCCAAATTATACAAAAAATGTTCTGCTTTGAAAAAAAATGTGGAATAGCATTCTGTGATTTACCAAAGCACTTTAGCCAAGAGCTGGGGCACTAACAAACATTGCCGCCAGTGCCGGACATTTTTTTTTATCCTTGTGATAGATGCCTTCCATAAGTCATATATGTACTCTTATTGAATAGCCTCCCAAGAAGAAGAGTGCAAAGAAAGGCAAGAAGAAGAAGTCGGCCAAGGCCAAGACACCCACCGTCATAGATGGCATCTCAACAGAAGAAATGTCCAAAGAGCAGGTATGTACACACATAATTATTTGAAGGTTTGTATGGTGAAGTGAGCAATAAGAGTAAGTGTGCGGTTGCGGCAAGTTAAAAAAATAATACATGAAAAACACAGTCAAGTTGTCCTTTCTCTCTTGGGGTCCGCTCATAAGTCCGACGCCTCATAGGTCCGAAGCCTCATAAGTCCGACAAAATGGCATCCTCTAACCAAATAAAGGCCCATAAGTCCGACGCCTCATAAGTCCGACACCTCATTGGTCCGACGCCTCATTGGTCCGACTCCTCATAGCCCCGACGCCTCGTAAGCCCGACAAATTAAACACCTTGTTTTTCCGTTGTTGGACTTATGAGGCATCGGACCTATGAGGCGGAATAAATAAATTGTATGCCTCATAAGTCCGACGCCTCATAAGTCTGAAAATTCGGACTTATGAGGTGTCGGACTATACGGCCCCTCTCTCTTGTTGAACACATTTCTCAACAGTATATTTTTTTTTACCTCAAATGCATTTATAACATTTCTGCTGTCCATATTTGTCTGGTTACTTAACGTACAATGGGAAGGAAACCTTAATGTTTTCCTAGTGGGATCAGCAAGTTTTTTTTGCGGTGGTGAAAGTACGTGTGCATGTGTCATGTACACTAATACGGTAGACAGTGCTGATGGAAGAACAGGGGACAGTGCATGGCCTACATAGTGGAAATGGTCGAACTTGACTTTGTAAAAATGTCAGGCGAAGAAAATGTCTGCGAGTTCAGTCACAGAACTTGATCTCTTTTTTTTGTTCATGTGTTTTCCATATAGCCATGTAGTTATTTTGATGCCTCGCTGCTCATATTTGTAGCGATACAGCATAGCGTGATTTCTTGGGTGCTGGTACACAGGGCTGTCCATGCATGCTGATACCAAGTGATACGGACCGTGTTGCCCATTTTCACGTTGTGACTAACATTGTGCATTGTGGTGCGCACAAATTAAATTCACTATTATTTTTAAGTATCGTCAACTTTTTTTTCCTTTAAATTTTTGTTCCTGTAATTAAGGCAAGGTTTGAATCATTTTTTTTGGCCAGTTTTGATAGCTTAAGTCTTGATGTTAATGAAAATAATTCCCGCCAAACATATGCACATGTTGTACCTTGACTCCATTTAATCAGCACTTGAAACAAAATTGCAAAATTACAAAAATTTCTCGACCTACCATCTCTATTTTTAAATGGTATGTAATCGGAAGCACAAGTATTTTTAAGGGGGACTAATGACTGTTTCAGAATCATTGAAATATTGAACACAAACATTGTATCTAAGTTTAGCATTTTTTTAAATTACATTTTAGAAATCTCTTTTCAGTGTGCCATTTTACTGATTTTTTTTGATATTATTCAGGACAATTCGGGCGATTCACAATGCAGTGCGCCACCAAGAGTTTGCTATGGAGAGTCAACTTTTCAAGTTTACAGTCGACAAAATATGGCCCATTTGAATGAGTGTCAGTAGACACTTGAGCTAAGTTGTATAGATTGGGGCATACCGTTCTGCCGCCTTACAAAAAATCACCATATTGATACAAAGAGCAAATAAAAGGGCAAACATATACTCGAATCATACGCTTACGAAACTACTGACCGGAAAAAAGGAACAATTTCAAATGTCCCGCGCTGCGAATTTGTCGTCCATCTCCCACAATGCACTGGGAAAAATGAACTCTCCGTGGTAAACTATTGGTGGCGCTCTGCATTGTGAATCGCCCGAGTAGCATAATGTAATTTGAACACACAAAAAAGTAATCTGTCTATGAGACTGAGTATGCTTTACTATGTACTGATCTAGCTGGAGGAGCACATTGGCCGACTCAGGGAGGAACTGGACAGAGAGAGGGAGGAACGAAACTACTTCCAACTGGAACGAGATAAGGTCAATACGTTCTGGGAGATTACTAAGAGACAGCTGGATGAGTTACGGGCAGAGCTGAGGAACAAAGACAGAGAGATGGAAGATGCTGAAGAAAGACATCAAGTTGAAATCAAGGTAATAAGATGAAGACCAACCAGTAACCATTCAATGCAATGTCTATGTGTCCAATGTACTGGGGAAAAAAGTGGATCTGTCAGTTGTACCCTAACGTGGCGTGCCCCCCAACGTGGCGCGGCCCCCAACGTGGCACACTTTGATTTTTCGCCTGTAGCGCCTACCTAGAGCAAAAGTTTTAACTGAAATTTCACAGAAAGTGAAATTTCATCAAGTTCTAAACACTCCTGTTCATAAATCGCGAGTTTATTAACCCGTAACAGTTAGAAGAAAAAAGATTATTTTGGCGTGATTTTCCGATTTTATTTTCAAGTGCAAAGTGAACCCTTTTAAAAATGGCCCGAAAAATAAGACAATAATTTTCTGACAAACATCTGGCTGGGTATGTAAGTAGAGATAATAATTATTTATCAGAATTATCAAGTTTACAGAAATTCTTAAGTGTTAATTTGGAATTTTTTGAGATTTATTCAAGTGCGCCACGTTAGTGAACACCCCGCCAATTTGTGCCCAATTTCCAGATGCCACCGTTTTTGAATTTCAGATTAAATTTTATGAAACGGAAATTGTTCACAGAGGTTAAATAGCAAGCATTTATAATAAGGTAAAAGTACTAGTATTTCACTGCATGAATTTGAGGTTTGTCAACAAAGAGGTTTGGCAACACTACACGAGGAAAGTCGGGTAAGCTTCGAAGTGCGCCACGTTAGGGAACACGACTTAATGTCAGATAGGAAAACACAAGTTTTTGATTTGTTAGATTTTTTTGTATTTTATCAAGAAAAGACGAAACCTAGAACTTGAATCATGAATGACTAGTAACAACAGCAATAATTAAATCAATGTGTTATTTATGGAGAACTGTTGCAAACCCCTGTTTGTTTACATCTGATGCAGCAGCATTTTTTCCCCTTGTCTATACATATTTCCAGCAGTGGACGAAGCCACTGAATGTTTAGCCAAACTGTTTAGTCAACATACCGTTTATACCCTTTTTAATCAATGTACTCTGAGACATCAACTTTCATGTAATTTTGGAGCATGACTATGACTATAAGGAATGAATGAACATAAAGACTAGCAACAATCCACTTTGGGATATTGGATCCCACTCTATTTCTCAGAATTACGCCGGTGGCAAACCAAGCGCACATTCCTCACTTATGTACATTTTGAAATAAAACGTGACTGGAATGACTCTAATTTTGAGGACCAAATTTTTGTGCCCAGAAATTTGTTAGCGTTGTAATTACATGAAAGCTGCCAATTTGTCAAGGTGTAGTTTTGGGAATATTTATATTCTATCTTTCCAAAAATTGTCCCTTCAACCCTAATCATCCCAAATCCTCCAAAATCCTTTTTGCAAATTGGAGGAATTTGCAGGATTGAGGCTACATGGCAAAAGTGCATTGCTGATTTCGGAGGACGCACTGTGTCAAGGTCTTTGGCCGGACCTTGTGTTGTTTATGCTCAGCCGTGCATAAATTTAGTCCTTGACTACTTGAAATCCTCTGCACTGCTCCAGGATGTCACTGCCTCTGCCTCAGCCTATTGACAGTCACTGCCGCAGGATTTTGCAGGATTCAGGCAGTGGTCACCCCTCCACGGACCATATTGAAGAAATAATGGAGGAATTTGCAGGATTTATTTAGGCTATATGCTATTTTTCCATGAGGCCAATTGGATGATTTTGCAGGATTGAGGCTACATCCTAGCAAAAAGGCCTAGGGAGTTAGGGTTAAATATGATACTTCACATCATATCAGTGCAAGTCGTATTAAAGTCTGTCTCGTCCCATCTTAGGTATACAAGCAAAAGGTGAAACATCTGCTGTACGAGCACCAAAACAATATCTCAGAACTCAAGGCTGAGAGCTCAGTGGCTCTGAAACTTGCTCAGGATGACCACAGGGGTCAGGAAGGAGACTTGAGGAAAGACAAGCGTTCCTTGAAGGTTACACTGAAAGAACAAGAGCTGTCACATGAAGATATTATCAAGAACCTCAAGATGGTAAGTCATTTTGTCTCATTTTTTCTTGTAAACATATTTTACAATTGACAACAATATCACTTGGTGATCTGATACACCGTGCCCTCTGGAGACGTGTGTACAATAGGGAACAAAAGATTGTATACGTCTCCACAGGGCAATTTCTATAGATGAATACGTCTCCACAAGGTTTTCACGAAATAGATATATGGATTTTACACAAAACTAGGAATTTCCAAGGTGGGTTGATCAGTCCCAAATGGAAGAGTTTTAGAAAAGGGATATTAAGTCAGAATTTCAGCCAAGGAAATTAATTCTGGTAAAAAATAAGAGCATTTTAAAACTTCACTTTCAAACTCGAATACTTTACTACACGAGAACAAAGAAATGTCTCCACAAGGATACAAATTTCAGTATGCGTGTGCTGTCGATTTATTTTAACTAACACGCCTTCAAAGCAAGAGATCTTATTATATAAGGTCTTGCGGTCAGCTTTTCAGACGGTACACAAAATGATTCAATGACAATGTAGACTCTGTCATTCATGTAGTCTTGAAACTGCGAAAGTCAAATACCACAGATGGACTATTTTTAAAAGAAACAAATCTGTGATGTAATAATTTGCTTTGTCACAAGGCTCTGTATTCAAACTCTTCAGTTCCAGCCATGCAAAAGCTGCTGCTGTTGTTATTTCAAGGAATTTTTCATAATTTAAAATCTGTGAAATTAAACAGATATGTGATGAAGCTATTCTTTAGAGAAACGATAGTACAATCAAATACTGATATTTAAGCCAGATCTGTGAAACACTTCACACACATTTTACACTTTAAAAGTGATCGTATAAATGTAGTGCTTGTTATTGTCATTGAAATCTGCAGAAAAGTGATGAGAAGGTGACCAATTTGAGAGCAGAGTTTGAGAGGGAAGCCAGAGGTAAGATTCTTTTTATATTATTTTAAGGAAGTTCTGCATGTAGCATTTTCAAAATCTAGAATATGAAAGCCCAATTCATAAGCTTTCTTTTAGTACAAGAATCATTCAAATCACTCGTGTACTTTTCAAGTTACGGAATTTTAATCTCAACCACCGTTTTAAGGTTCTGTCGACGGATAGCAAAAAGTTCAGTGTTCTTTCAGCAAAACGAAAACAAGTCACATAGGGACGTGTGTGAATTGTTTTCGATTAGCTGAAAGAACGCACACCTTGGTTGTGTTTAAAATTCCGTATAAAACAATATGGGACTTATGAAAACGTGAATTTTGTCTTGGTAAATATGACAATGCAATCATGGTGAAACCGTACCATTTTTTATCCAATGAAACGCTCACTTTGTTATGACATGTTAATAAGCTAGTGCAGTATTTCAACTGCGCATGTGTAAAATGATATGGATCACATGTCATTCGGGATAATCAAACGCTCATCGACGGAACGTACGCGCCAGGAGACGGTCGCACGGCGCAATCACGTAACATCGTGTTAGCGCATTTATCCCGAATGACCTTTGACCTGGACTACTTCACCGAGATACCGAACTGGCTTACTTATTTGGCAAAAGCAAGCTGACCACATAGAGCTATATTAAATTATTTATTAGAGCGCTAACTCGATGTACAAAGTAATGCCTGATGGTCGCATCCATGTTTGTGCACAAACCTATGGAAAACTCAAAATTGTGTACGGCTTTTGTACGGCTATTTGCATATCTGCATTTGTATTCCATACCGGTCGGTGCGTTATCGAAGCCGATACGCCCAAAACCAAAACGCGAAATCAGCAAATGAGCGTTTCATTTTGCTCTACGCAAACAGCGCAACGTGTGCGCGTCCCTCCGCTGCAGATGCTTTTCGCCGTGACGTTGCCTTGAACCATCATGACGCGCTTAAGCTGTTTGCGTATCTTCTACTTGCGCGTTGCATTTAGAGTACATTTTTGAAATTCAATCCATCTGTTTTGATTGTGTTCTACAAATACGCACATAAATTCAAAATGTCTGTGCCCAGAGCGGCTTCAAAGCGTCTCCGCGCGCAAGAATGAGGAGTTAGCGCTCTAGTAATTTAATATAGCTCTATGGCTGACCATGATGTCTTGATTTACAAAGTTGATGTGATCATCAATGCCAGCCCAGCCTCAGATTCCACTTCTGGGGCATGATTTCTTAAACATTAAATCATTATATCTGTTTCTGTTGTGCAGAAATTGAAAACAAATACGAGCAGAAAATGCGTCAACTTCGAGAAGAACTCGAGCTCAGAAGAAAGACGGAAATCCATGAGATCGAGGAACGGAAGAACAGCCAGATCAATACGCTAATGCGTAACCATGAAAGAGCATTTAGTGATATCAAGAATTATTACAACGATATCACACTCAACAATCTAGCTCTCATCAACTCACTCAAGGTATGTTCATTAATATCTGATTTTAAATATCAAGAGAAAACAAACCAAAATAGATTGTGTGGTGTTTAACATGTATTAGGTTTCTGGAAAAAGTTACGTCGAAAGTCGGAATCGTACAACTAGTCTGTTCGTATGGTTGCAGACCAGTAAATAAACTTCCATAGACGACCCCAATGGTAAATGCTCCCACTTCGGAAATTTGGGAAAAATACTCACAACTCTCCAAGGTGTTCGAGACACACATCAAATTAAAGCTTATTTCATCATCTTTCATTTTCTTTTCAATTTTTGGAGGGTCAACTGATGACTTTTAGGAGAAATTTCCATCTGAAGATGATCACCCCTGAAAATAGTCCTGAAGCCCATCGCCATTTTAAAAAACGATGCCTACACTCCATTGCAAAATAGAGCGCTTTAAAGTTTAAGGGTCCCAAATTCATCCAAATCAAATGGAACTGCAAGTGCAAGCTCCCAGTCCTGTGCATGGCTTCCACCCATATTTTTTACAAACCCTCAAGTTCATGGCCCACAGCATGCTCAATACTGAAGATTTTGAGGGCATGCAAATCGTGATTTGGTCTGCAACCATATGGGAAGGCAGACTGCTTACCAGTGCAGATATCTTACCACTTGACCAAACACTGCCAGCCAACCTCCCCAAGGGTGGTGGTCAGGTTGTGAGACATCTGCACAAATAAGCAGGAGTTTATATTATACGTTGGTGAAGGGCAAAACCTAATTTGATAAGCAGGAGTTTGTTTGATAAAAGTTGCGTTCCCTGTGCTAAGTTTGAGGTTCATCCCTAAAAACAGATTTCTTTTCTAAATTGGTATTTTTCTAGCAGTACAAAGGTTCTTCACCTTTGATTGAGACGTCGACTAAAAAAAATTGACTCATGTTTAGTTACTGAATTATTACTGTAAAATTTTGATTTACTCGCAAATTTTGATTTACTCTGTTTGGGCCCAAAACCAATTTCTCCCCCCCCCCCCCCCCGAGGGTTCCAGACGTTCAAAACAGGAAAAAAGTAGGGAAAAAAAAGTGGAATTTGTTGAAGAGCAACGGACACGCAACTTTAGGTCCCAAATATGTATTAGATTTTCTTAATGAGCCATTTTAAGGCACTTGAGCACAGATTTCTTGAATAAGTTAGGTTTTTAAGAGCAAACTGCAATATTAAAACAAAAAATCCTACACCACCTCCCTAGAAATCATACAACTGTTTATTGAGAATGCACTATTAAATAGTGTTGTCAGTGTTAGGAAGTAGCATTAGTTTTGTTGAGTTGGCTGCTGGACTTTTCCCAGTACGTTACTTAAAACCTATTTGATGCTAACTTCATGCAATCAGGAGCAAGTTGAAGAAATGAAGAAGAAGGAAGAGAGGATGGAGAAGCAGATGAATGAAATCCAGCTGGAGAACAAACGTCTGAAGGAACCACTTGAGAAAGCAAAGGATGAAGTAGCCGAGTTGACAAGACAACTGGCCAACTATGAGAAAGACAAAGCTTCACTTGCTGTAAGTAACTGTTGTATAGCTGCAATAGAATTTACACAGGATTGCCCCCATATTATACTACATATTGTTTGTCAAACCACAAAGTGACATTGTGTGCAAATGTCTATGCATTATCCGTCACTTCATGTCACATTGAAAATATCCAGAGATGACACTTTTCCGATTTTAATCGGAAATCCGACTTTTTGAATTTTCCAACGAAATTTCCGATTTTCTTACAATGTGACCCACAAAATTTGATTTTGTAACGATTTTTTTCAGAAAATGTCATTTTATTTCAATCATAATTTCGAAGAAAAGTCGGTGAAAAGTTGATGGAAGTGGCACATTAAAATCATCGCGAACGTAGTTTTAATCTCTTTCACCAGTCGTTATTGGAGTGTTTCAATGGTAGAAACACAGGCCATAACACTGATCGGCCTATTTTCTGATTTTTTTGGCATATGTCAGTTTCATCTCTGAGTATCCTAGCTGTCACATTCTGACGCAACCAGTAATATGCTTGCTGTCATATTATGCTACATAATAAATAACTAAAGATAAAGATGTTAAACACTTCACGTAACATAGTTTGAAACGAAGTCAATTCGATTTCTTTATGTAAATTGTCTAAATTCACAATTGTGTGTTTTGAGAGTAGGATTAGCAGCTTCTGTGAACATCTGATCCCTTAAATTTTCATTAAAAGTCCATTTCTCCATGAAAAGAATCTTTAAAAGATGTTTCACGGACATTTACATGGGGCTTATATAGGGCTAATCCTGTAAGGGTATTTTCACGTTTTTTTAATGAACCTGGCCACTGAGGATTATCATTGGTTATACATAACGGTACACTGGGTCTATCTCCATGGGTAGACAAAGGACTTTCCTAAGGGTGTTTTCACTGACTCCTAATCTGGCTTAACATGTTGAAAAGTCCGTGAACATGTAGTTAACTGTAATTTCAAGGGAAAATGGCTCTTTAAGGAATTTTTAAGGGATAAAGATGTTCATTGTTGCTAATTTCAATAAAGACAGTTGGCTGTTTTGACTGGGATATGAATACATGTAGTTTTATCAAATTAAATATTCAAATATAACACAAAGAATTGATGGTACAAGTATTTCTGATTGAGAGGTGTCATTTCTGTTGTCTCTCTATAGAGTGCTAAAGCCAGACTGAAAGTGATGACCCAAGAGTTCAAGGACTTGGAATGGGAGCATGAAGTACTGGAGCAGAGATTTGAAAAGGTAAGGCTGAATAACTCAGGGATGTGATTTCTCCGTTTTTTCCCCGGAAATCCGTTTTTTTGGGGCCTCAAAAGTCCACCAACGTGAATCGTGTGAATCCGTTGAGAATATAGGGGGGTAGAATGTGCTAATTAATTATTCATAATGAGTTTTGCTTGCCGAAATATCCGAAATTTACTTACGGACATTACTTGTTGATCGGTATATCTTTTAACGCACGCACATATTGAATACCCAATGTGAGAATGAATGTGAGATTGCACCACAGAGCATCTAAAATCTAAAATTTTCCGGGGCCCTTAAGTGGGCCCCGGACCCCACGCCGTAATGGCTTTGCGCTTCACGCTCGCCGGAGCATGCACTTCATGCATACAATTGTCAGGTTTTTTTGTCACAGACCAATCACATCCCTGATAACTCCAATGGTATCCTGCGTGAGAAACAACTAGAAACTCAAAGTGTTTAACATTGAAAAAGACTAGCATTCCTTAAGACTGTTGATATCTTGGAGCAGAATGTTGTTTAATAAAAGACGGAGAATTATTTGTCAAAGAGAATTGAGCAAATGCTTGCTTCACACACAATTGAATTTGTGGTACATGACGGAATTTTCTTTTCAGAAAGCTATATCAAGAATGTTTTGTTTGCGTGTTATATTAGTTATCCCATGAGTGTGAGTGGAACACAGAATATCTTCAAGTAAGCTTGAATCCACGATCCTGATTGGTCGATCCATGGCAACAAGCCGTGCTACAAATAACCATGTAGCACGGCCTTGGTCCATACTGCACTCCGCGTATTCCACTGTTCCAAGATGCGAGCGACATTCCAGCTGCAAACGCTGCTGAATATCCGTGTAAAGCGTGCTCGTTCCAACTTTACTGCGCATCAAGTTTGCTTGAAGATAAATTTGTTATCACGCTCGCAGAACACGGAAAATGTAGTGCGTCTGTGTCCCACATGAAGGCCGAAGGCCGGGTGGTATGTGGGACACAGACGCACTACATTATTCCATGTTCCACTTGCGCTCGTAGGATAATTTATAATGTAGTGGGTGTGTGTCCTACACCGACCGAGTGGCATATGGAACACAAGCGCACTACATTTTCAGTGTTCCAGGGGCACAAGTGGGCTATATATCAAATTTATCTTCAAGCAAACTTGACGCACAGTAAAGATGAAACATGCACACTGCACACATATGCTTCAGCGGTTATCCTATTACATGTGAGTGTAGCAGAAATGGCGCGCCCATCTTAGAAAGGCACGACTACGTTATGGACCGTGGGTATATGGGATATTATCTTCAAGTAAACTTGCATCCTCGATCCTGATTGGTCGATTCATGGCAACAAGCCGTGCTGCATATCCATGTAGCAGGGCCTCGGTCCATACCGCACTCCGCGTATTCCGCTATTCCAAGATGCAAGCGAAATTCCAGCTGCATACGTTAAACTGCCGAATGTTCGTGTAAAGTGTGCTCGTTCCAACTGTACTGCACGTCAAGTTTGCTTGAAGATAAATTCGTTATCTCGCTCGCGCTCGTGGAACACGGAAAATGTAGTGTGTCTGTGTCCCACATACCACTTGGTCGAAGTGGAACACAGACGCACTACATTATTCCATGTTCCACTCGCGCTCACGGACAACTTATAATACCACGCTGTTGTTTCCATGCATCGACCAATCAGGATCGAGGATTCAAGTCTACTTCAAAAATAGATGGTCAAGTACAGTCTAAATCCTAGATTGACATCATGCAGTGGATAGGAAGCATGGTATTTGAAAAATGGTGGACAAAACCTTTTTGGGTGAATCAGTATTCCAACTGTATGCAAACTCATGGAGAGTACAATTGAATAAAACACAGCTGTGCAGAAATACGTTTCAACATAAAGTCTGTCATTTACAGTGTAGAAATACAAAGGAAATAAAATGACCAGAAATGCAGTCCCCTTTTATTTCCTGTTAATTTCCAAACTCTAAATAATCTTCCCCTTTCATATATTTTCATCAACATTTCAGATGCAGACAGAACGAGACGACCTGTATCGCAAGTTTGTCAAAGCCATCCACGAGGTACAACAAAAGAGCAATTTCAAGAATCTTCTGCTTGAGAAGAAACTGACTGCTCTGACAGACACATTGGAGAAGAAAGAAGCTCAGTTGAATGAGGTGCTGTCTGCCTCCAACCTGGACCCCACGGCACTAACAGTGGTGACTAGGAAGTTAGAGGTAAGAATTGCGTATTTATATTGCCAAACATGCCAGAGATCACTCTTTCAGTTATAAGCATAGTTGTGTTTGGTAGTAATGATGTGAATCGGGTCGGGTTGACCAGGCCAAACCGACCCGAAACATTAGAGATATAAACCGAATCCGAACCGAAACCGATCTTAACTCCCTCAAACTGACCCGACCCGACAAAAAATAAGGTAAAACTGACCCGACCCGACCCGAAAACCCCCGAATACCTTGCTTGGACAAAGTGATTCCTTTTTTGTGCCTGCCCTTACCCACGTGGCATGAATTCTTTTGCAAAACCATCGTCTCTCTCTCTGTCATTCTCAGTGGATTGATCGAGAGTAACTCCGCTTATTGAACAAACGCATGGTATCATCATGCGTTATCATGAAAACTGTTACAATGTATCTATTTCACTGTCAGTCCCATCCGACTGGAGAAATTAATACCGTGGGAACTTGATAGTGCGCTCGGTGGCCACACCACACAATGGGCTGCGGTCACAGTGACTGTCAATAATATTGATATTGCATCATCTAAATTTCTCAACTGTTTTGGTTTATTTCGGTTTTTTCAAAAGATGGCTAAACCGACCCAACCCGAAAATGAAAATGCAAAACCGAAACCGACCCGACCCGACTGAAAAGATGGACAAACCGACCCGAAGTCGGTTTTGGGTCGGGTCGGTTTCGGTTTCAGGTCGGGTTTGCACATCATTATTTGAACTCCCAATACTGATAAAAGTAGTCCCCCTCCCAAAGAAAAAGAAACTTTCGTAATATGTTTTCCTTTCCCAGTTTCAGGAAGAGCTGTATCAAGAGCAGCGTGTGGTAGAATTTACAATGTTATTGAGTGGGATATTATGGCATTGATGATTGAGTTCATATCTGATATTATTGGTTTGTGCAGGATGTCCTAGATTCCAAGAACAGTGCCATCAAAGATCTCCAGTATGAGCTTGCCCGTGTTTGCAAGGTAATGAAATAAATCAGGGGTGTGAAATCTCAGCTTTAAAGCTGATTTCAGCTTTTGTTTTGTTTTGGATTTCATCTTTTTTTCAGCTTTTTCCCTCACTTACTGTGTACAAAAGTATAGGAGATTTTCAAAGTTCAGCTTCTTCACACCTTTTTCTAGCTATTTTCAGCTATTTTTGTAAGTGGTCACTCACACCCCTGTAAAATGTCATAAAAGTAATGTTGAAGCATTCAGAGCTATTTCATGTGAATACTTTCGAAAAACTGATTCAAAAGTAATAAGTGAGATGAAACGGCCGAGACGTAAAGTAACAGAAATTTGTGTTCTGTCAAAAAGAGACTCTTCTAGACCTATTTATGAAAAGAGTTGTGTTTTAAGTTACATGAACATGAACACGCATGTTTACGTTACATACCTAGTGTGGACATTCCCTTGGTTTCGTGTAGTTAAGAAAAACCAGTGAAAAAACTCATTATTCTCAAACTGTGAAAACTCTTTCAACCCAATTTTTTTTCTATGATCCCCTTTAGTGTTTCTCTTCATTTTGCCACAGATAAACCTAACCCAAAAATGCCTCTAAACCTGTTTTCCAGAAATGGGGGAAACACTGTGTGGACTTGCCCAAGTCCACACAACGTCTCCTCTACCTGGTTTATGTGGACCTCTTTTGTTCGGAAGTCCACACAGTGAATGTAATGCCTACCCAAAAGTGTAAGTCTCCGTATTTACAAAATGTGTTTATTATTTGTTATTATTCCAGGCTCATAACGATCTTCTACGGACCTATGAGGCCAAGCTGACATCGTTTGGTGTTCCAACCGAAGAGCTCGGTTTCAAGCCCTTGGAGAGTACAGTAGGAGGTCAACAGCTTGGCCAGGGCCCTGCAGGATTAGTAGCTGCTCCAACATAAACTCTGTTCTTAGGGGGTTAGTCTTGCATGCAGAGTGGATGTTTATAATAAAGCTATATTAAATTACTAGAGCGCTAACTCGATGTACAAAGTAATGCCTGCTGGGCGCATCCATGTTTGTGCACAAACCTATGGAAAACTCAAACTTTTGTACTGCTTTTGTACAGCTATTTGCATATCTGCGTTTGTATTCCATACCGGTGCGTCATCGAAGCCGATACGTACGCCCAAGGCCAAAACTGAAACACACGATTATCAAAATGAACGATTCATTTGCAGCGTAACGCGTGAGCGTATCCGCTGCAGATGTATTTTGCCGTGACGTTTTTTGAACCGTCATGACGCGCTTAAGTTGATGCGTATTTTCTACTTGCGCGTTGCATTTAGAGTACACTTTTAAAATTTAATCCATCTATTTTGATTGTGTTCTACAAACACGCACATAAATTCAAAATGTCTGCGCCCAGAGCGGCTTCAAAGCGTCTCCGCGCGCAAGAATGAGGAGTTAGCGCTCTAGTAATTTAATATAGCTCTATGATGTGTATACATGTATCTTCATCTCATCTTGGCCTGTCCTGTCGTAAACGACAGGCCTGTCCCGTCGTAAATGACAGGCCAAGAATGAAGAGTTAGCGCTCTAGTAATTTAATAGAGCTCTATGCTGTGTATACATGTATAGGATATCCTTATATACCTCATACGAATTCACAAACTGACATTATTACAGTTCATGGCGCATTATATGACACACATAGATGAACAGAATTCATAATGTTGCTCACTTTAACACTAACATACTCTGTTCTTCAGAGCTGCTGCCGTTCGCATTTCCAACAAAAAGTAGAAATCAGATGGGAATGAATCCTCGTTATTTTACTGGATTAATTCGGACTGCCTTCAATTTTGTGAATATTTATGAGGTATGGTAAAAGCAACTTACAGTGTTGTTTTGATTACAAAATTTCTCTTTGATATCAAATTTATATGATAAATTCATTAAGTGTGTACCTGGAGGAACAACTATGCATCCTCCCTGTGTGGGTGTATGTATTGTTACAGAACGTAATCACATTTGTCACATAATCTGAGTCTTGCGTGACACGTATCCAACAAACTGCAATATGGGCTTCGTGCGCCAACGAAAGAGGGCGCCCTTTTACCTAGCAACGACGTCCCATGGGCAGGACATTTAGCTGGTTGACGCGCACCGTTCCTTGTGTGTGACGCATGTACACCAGGGGATTTGTACTATGTACACACAGTGGTACTGCCGCGCGTCGCGGCAAAATTGCAGTCGGGCAAGATGGCCTCGGTCGGTCACCCCCAACTGTGCCTTCTTTGCCGGTGAGGGGGTACTCGTGAACGGAGCGGATAGCCATCATACGACAAGAACCAACACCTTTTCAGGATCCAATACAACCTTTGTGGTCAGTTGCAGGTAACCTGACTATTTCCAATAATCAAATTGCAGTTCATGCTGCTTGCCACTACTCTGTACCGTCTCATTGATGCCTTAACCTCAGGTTTTTTTAAAACACACTTTGGAATAATTGTCAATAAGTGAAAAGACAATTCCGTATATATATTTTGGCATGTAATGTTCATTAGGAAAGTAAGTTTGGTGCATGCATAGCAGTGGATAGTGTAAGCTGCTGTATGGGCATGTTGCGAAAAACACCTCACATCAGGGTATGTGTTATTTACGTTGTATCAGTGTTGTAGTACTCGGTACTCATACTCGAGTACTTTTTTGGTTGTACTTGTACTCGTCCTCGTACTCGAACGTCAAAGTACTCGTACTCGAAATGACGGTACTCGTACTCGGGCAGCAAAGTACTCGTACTCGACATGTCCAAATTGTACTCGATCATCAAAGTACTCGTACTCGAATAACACTAACAGTACTCAGGGGGAGAAATGGTATAGCTTGACTTTATACCAGAGCCTTACTTTATCGATACTTTCAGTTTGAAATGGTTGATTGGCTTGTGGAGAAGTCGAAGTTTCCTGATTTTCCTCTGTGCAAGTCCGGACAAACACATTTAACAGCTAGCCGTGAGTGGGTCTGTTTATTGGTCTGACTGGGCCTGGGCCAATTACGCACAATGAACCACTTGCCGTATGGCCGTGTTAGGAAATACAAGTACTCGTACTCGTACTCGTACTACGAAGTACGGTACTCGTACTACTCGGAAGCACAAGTACTCATACTTTGATACCTGTTCTTGTACTCGGAGGTACAAGTACTCGTACTCGTACTCGGCAACCTCAGCACTCGGCAGTACTCGGTACTCGGAAAAATAAATGATAAATAGGATGGGATGATAAATAGGTAATGTATATATGAAATTTATCCCTTTGAGTTGGAATTATAAAAAAAAAACTTTTTAAAGGCTTTGTACAAAGGTGTACTATAAACATGCTGTTTTTTTCACACGTAAAATGAAGTACTTTTTTTTAAGATAAATGGAAATAACCGACCGTCCGTGAGTATAAATTGCAATGTTGTGTTTTTTAGGTTGTGATGGAAAAGACAGAATTAATGTGAATATGTGTAGTTGAATCAACTTCATGTGATTGTGTTGGTTTTTTTGTTGTTGTATTAAAACTGAACATACATAAAATAAAATGGACATGTCGTCGGGTGTTCATTGTGTGTTGTAATCTAGTGTATTAGGCCAAAAAAAAAAATAAGTCGGTCTCTGGTCAGCGCGCACGTCGATTTTAATTATGCACGTCAATCTTTTTTTTTCTCCAAAATGTTCCGCGGTAGCTCCGACAGCGCCCTCTATTTCCGCACCTCCTCAATTTTTTTTACCAAAGAGCACCAAGGAATGGGAAATTGCACCAAGGCAAATGATCGAAAGCACCAAGGCAAATTATGGAGGACACCAATGTACATGAGGACACCAAAAAAGCAAAATAGTACCCCACCTTTTCTGTACAATCCAAGCTTGAAGAAAAAAAATAAAAAGCAAAAAAAAAAAAAAAAAAGCCGTGTGGCCGCGTCAATTCCGGTACTTTGGTCTGACCAGAGACCGAATATTTTTTTGGGGGGCCTAATCATAACATATTTATTAAATTGAATACATTCGTGTGTCTACATTTGCTTAAGGGCTTGTTCGTTCTCAGTTGAACTTGATTCTCTGCCTATACTGATGTTTCATTCTGCAGCATAGAGAGTTAACAATGAACGTGCATTGTACATGTACATGTACATGTACACGTACATGTACAATGTACATCAGTGTAGAATGCTCTCTTTTTTTGCACTTAAAAAGCTTACAGGAGCACTGGAGCAGAACAATTAGTTGTCCACAAAATCCTGTTCTTGTTCACATCAAGGTTGCAAAAATCGTTAATAAAACAGGTAATGTTTACCAGGCGGGTAGAAAAGATTGGAACTTCTTAATGGTGGGGGAAGTGAAGGGTGGTCTGCTGTACGTCTTACCGTCGGTAGTTAATCTTCGAAGACTAATGGAAAAACACCGAGGAACATTGTGGCAATCAGTGTTCCTACGAGCGGAACATATCAATCTTGTCACGCGTCATTACAGTCGTATAGGCAATCAGTCTCTCGTCTCAAGTTTAAATGAAATTTACCAAGTACATGTATAAATAATGAACTTCATCAAGTATTAATGAACTTCATCGACAAATGCTGAGTCCATTGAAGTCCCGTTTGTGTTTCATGCTGTAGTCCTGTTCGGGGTGGTCTTCATCAGTGACGCATGCAAATCCGGGGGCTGGGTAACGAGGGCCACACCCACTCCCTTCAAAAAGCGTGTCATTTTGCTCCTTTTTGAATAATTAAACCAGACTTGGTGTGAAGAAGATTGTTTAAATCGATGTTTCTCATCAGCTCCCGTCTACGAGTTCGTAAAAACATTAACAGAGAGGAAGACAAAGCGAGAAAAGAGCGTCACCTAAGCTGTTCTGGTCTATTGAGGAAGTTGGAATCCAAGCTCATAAAAATGTTGGAAAAATAAATCACGCTTAAACCTTGGCATGATGGAACGCCAACAGACTAACACCATGAGGATTTGTGGGTTGAAGCATGGAGCTAGGAACAAAGCAATAGTCGCCGACCAGTCTGCCAGACGTGTTAAGGTTTCTATGTGCGTGTTCAGGACGGTCAGTCGACAGCAATTTATTTAACATTTCTCCCCTGCTATTTCCACCAAGAAAAATATGAGTTGGTATTAAATTGCTGTCTTTCTTGTCAAACAAAATGAAATCACAACATTTTGAAAACAGCACCAAGGCGGAATCTTTAGAACATGGACGGGGTTTTCGCAGCATGGCTTTCGATGATTCGACCTGGGGCATGTTTTGGCGGTCGGAACCAACATACATGTAGTTGATAGTTTTAAAAACTAGCTTTGTAGTGCAGATGTCTTACCACTAGATACCACTTGACCACCGAGTTAGCTCGGTGGTCGAGTTAGCTCGGTGGTCGAGTGGTAAGACATCTGCACTAGAAAACAGGAGGTCGTGGGTTCGAGTCCCACCGGAGTGATGTTTTCCAACATTAACTCGGGAGGTAACACACTGAGTATACAGTGTTTAAACGTCGGTGAAGGGCAAAATCTAATTTGATTTACGTTACCCCGACGCAAAATTCCATCTTGTACTGAATTACCGCACTACCCAAGTTGCTGTAATGCTTAACTAATGTTAAACGATTGAACCAGATTTAGGTTACGACCGCCAAACATGCTCCTTTGCTATGACGTCACACTAGTGTTAAAAGTGTGGATTTGTGTCTACGAATCTAAATTTTAGTAAAGTGTGGATTCCTTGTTACTTTGCACAATACATCATGTAATTTACAGCATGGTTACACCATGGGTTAAATTTTATTCGTTTTAATACAACTTTCAAAACACAATTTTCAGACATTTCACTAGAACTTTGTCGTAAGAGTTGGTACCTTGATCCGGTCTTAACTTTTTCTTTCAAATGGGGCTTGCGGTCGCTGCCGAAGTTAATTGAGCGTGATGGGGAGTAATAAATAACCGTCTGATAATTTCTACACAAACCCCCGGTGTAGGGGGTTTTGCATAGACATTTTCAGATACCAACTTTTACGACAATGTGTTAGTAATGAAATTGGGCAAAATCAGATTTTTTTTAATGAAAAATCTAAAATTGTAAGGGGTTAACCTTGCATTTTTAGCAACATTGGGCAGAATCAGATTTTTATGAGAAATTTCAAATTGTAAGGGGTTAACCTTGCATTTTAAGCAAAATAGGGCAAAAGCAG